GCACTTATGGGACAGATATAGCAAACTGCTTTAAATGATAAATTTAACAGACCAAAAGGGAGTAATCAAGAGAAGTTCAATGCTATGGTTTACACACACATTAGTTACAGGGGACAGGTTGCCGAACTTTTACCAATCACCCCCATAGATGGAAGCATGGCAGCTGAATTATGTTTGGAGATGGGGGGATTAGTAAATCCTTAAGAGAATAATCTGTTCAAGGTGAGAACAATATCCTAGTGTTTAATTCTAGAGTCTAAAATAGCATATATAATGAAAAAAAGTCTGCTAACCTGATTCGCGGTTTGGAAGTGAGCACAGATCATGTAAATCTGCTTAAGACAAGCATAAGGGTGGCACATTAACCAGCGTCTGGGGCGGGTGTAGTCACAGTGTTAAAGGGAACCTGTCTTCAAAGATGAACTACACTCTTTGTTTTGAATGTTTTTAGATAGAAATAAGAAAGGCCTCAACTTCATGTAAACAATCTTGCCAATGTGTGTTAATTAGGAATGTTCAGATAGCAAGTACCATATACTCGGTATAAGTACAAGTGCAGATACGTTTGCAGCGCCAAGACTAGACTAGAGAAAAACTCAAAAGTTAGGAGGCAGCTATCAATTTTAAGGAGCACACGGAGCTCCTGGGATTTGTGCATCCCTGTTTTAATATATTCATTTTTTTCATAAATATATATAAGGGATGCACCGATACCATTTTTATCAAGTACAAGTAATGATACTTGTTTAAGTACTCACAGATACAAGTACTGATACATTTTTGTTTATTGTCATGTGACATTTTTCTAAACCAATACAGACTAATGATTTCAGGACAGTGGTAGAATGCCAGAGCCAGGTCCCAGCTGCAATCTCTGCAACGCTGGTGGTTCTCGTGAAAATGGCAAGTATCGGCACTGGTATCAGAACATCCCTAATGTTAATTGAAAAATAAAATGTTTCTTTGTATAATTTGTATTATCTGTTCATAAGGGTGATCCTCTTATCTCATTGGTGTTAAAAAACAATACTCTGCATTAAAGGAGAACTATGAGGTGAGTGCTTTTCACTCACCTCATAGTTCTAGCCGACCTGTGACAATGAGACTGTCACAGGTCGGCTCAGTAGATCGGGAGGTGAGCAAACACATACCGGCGTTCGCTCACCTCTCGATCCTGTCATGGCTCTCTGCCGTGACAGGGAAGGGGCTGGATTCCCCCCTCCCCGCTCCGCCAGCGCTGACTGGCGGAACGGACGGGGGAGGGGGCGGGTACAACTGGCTCTGCCTCTAGATAGGCAGTGCCAGCTGTCAGTCACGCAGCTGGGCGGATCCCGGCACAATTGTCGGGATCCGCTTCAGCTGCGGCGTCTCAGTATACAGCGAGCAGTAGCTTGCGGTATACTGCGGCATCTCAGTATACCGCGAGCTACAGCTCACAGTATACTGAGCCTAGGGTGACGGGAGGACGGTAGTTTGTGTCCTCCCGTTACCCTAAGGAGAACTATGGGGATAAGCCTTAACCCCATAGTTCTCCTTTAATGATTGGTAGTCAGCAACCATGTGACCCAGGGTCTAGGTTGCCTAGGTTAAGAGCTGAGGAACAGCAGTTTTTTTTTTTTTATTTGTGGCAAGAAAGAGATTTTTTCCTACTCAGAATAATTACACAATTTGGTCATGCTGCCATATGTCCTACTAATTCATGTAGAGTGTGAATTTATTGAAGGTCCACTTTAATGCAAGGTGGCAGTAAACACTAACTCCAATGCATTTGCATTCTAGGCAGTGTATACACAAAAGTGAATGCATTTGGCAAAAACAATTTAGCTTTGTGAGCTCACTCAAAACGGTCTTGTTTGACATATATCGTGTGTTTGAGGCTATCCTTCATTTAATGAATCTACCTGTACACAGCAGTCAAAATCTGGCCCAATAAATTATTTTGCAAAGGCCACTTCCCAGAAATTCATGCTTCAGAGATACAGCATAGTACCTTTATATCATTATATAGTTTTATTTTAAATTGCATTACTGCTGAATTTAGTTATTCAGGATTTTATTTTTCCTTGTGACAGCTGCGAATATATGGAAGGAAAGAGATTTAGAGTGCATTCTAACAAGGCAGAAGAATTGTCTGCTGAGTATGTAAAGGGAGAAAAATATAAAAAGAGGTGCAAAAATGAATTTCATGTTTTAAGAAAATAAAGTATTGAATTTATGTCAATGTGCCATAGAGAGGCACTGGGGCCGACACTGAACACTTAGGCCTTTAGTGTTAACTGGGATCACGGTACACCTCTAGTCTTAAAACTCAGATGATCCACTGAACATCGAAACCTATTATAACAATCTGCAAATAAATCAAAGTAAAAAATATGAATTCTGAAGGAAAATAGTTGCTGAAATGTATCATCAAGTCAGAGATGAACAGTCTTTGGCAACTTCCCAACTGATTTTATAATTAAAGGGATTGTCCTACCAGAATTCTCTTACAGGTACATATGCTACCCTTTTTAAACAGATGAACCTTCTTCTTGCCATAACTGACAGAAGTCCTGTCCTAAGCCCAATTCACACCGAATCTGTTAGCATCCGTTTTTCAATGGATGCCAACAGAAGGTAACCCAAAACATGTATGGCTGTGAACTGTGACCGGAACCTTCCGGTCATGTAGATGCTTGCCCTTGCTACATAGCTATTGGACATCTGAAAAAAACTATTCAGAAAGCACTAAGGAGGAGTGGAGTTCTGTCAGCTGCATTTTGGGCTGCAGTTAGTAAGACAAAGAAGGAATTTGCATAGGATCCTGACCCCTTTGGGATCAGCAAAGGGTCAAGCTGACTGATAAAATAGCCACTTAGACAAATTGACTGGCACTATAATTGGCGGTGATCATTTTGTGTTATCAATATTTTGGGCCCCAGGAAGACTTCTCTAAAAGCTGTTCTGATTTAATAAAGGGATGTCCTGCACTTTTGTAGTTTACCTTCTGTAACAATATTAAGATGTATCTAACCAACAAACAGTGGTGGAAGCCACTGTTTGGACCTAGCCAATGAACTTCAGATATAGCAGTCTTCCTTTTTCCCAAAATGCAGTAGTGACTCTTTAGTGAACCAATAAACGAAATGTACATGAATGTTGTCTCAGCTACAGATATCCAGCAGCTATGCAAGACATCATTGAATTAAACTTGTAGTGATGAAGTGACTTAACAATTGGGCTATGGCTAGGTTAAAGAAAAACATATTCTATAAATTTATTGATCACATACTACCACATACCAAAAATGTTCACAATATTGTCACAAATGTGATATTCGCATTAAGATCTAGGTAGTGTTCGCACTAGGTACTGCAAACGAGATGACGTACTGTCACTGTTGATGTAGTGCTACGCATGAAAATTATAACTATATATAATATTTGAAACTATATTTTATGCACAAGTGCTCAATAATTTTAGAAGACGAATGTGCTCTATATTCTACCACAGAGAACAGCATTCACTGTAACATTGCAGAATATATAATCTTCTAATTAATTATTTTTAGTTCATAAGGATAGTGAGAAAAAGTATGGTGAAAAATATATTTGTAGAAAAGGCAATATGGCTTTCAAGTTATCGAATAAATGTTAAGTGGCTTTTTAAATGAAAAGAAAAATTTGAACGTTTACGCCTCGTAGTAAAGTAAGTTTTTTTGGTCAACTCAAAAACAAAGGGCCTATGGTTTAAAAGAAGTATAAGTACTTCACAAAGTATTAACATTTCTTGGGTAGCTGATGCAAACTGATGTAGGTTATCAGACATTTTAGGCCTAATAAAGGTTGACTGCAATGTGTCTCAATGGAAAATATGGAAAGGAAACTCGTGTGTCGGGAAGTATCTCTAAATTGTGAGCCACTACCAGCCAGGGAAGTCTGATGAGTCCAGATGAATGTCTTTATTAGATAGTGAAACTAAGATCACCAGATAGTGAAGCTAGGATCAAGATGACAGCACTGGAGTTTGTATCGTAAGGGAACCTTTACACCTTAGCATTTTGGTGTGCTGTAGGAACATTTATTTTTTGCATTTTAATGTGCATTGCATTAAGGCAGCCCAGTCAAAAGAATGGGCTGGCAATGCACCAAAATATCCAATGAAATGGACACATAACATATTTGCCAATGCAGCACACCAAAATGCACAGTAGTGCATTGGAGCTTTGTCACCATTGAGCATTGAGGTGCCATTCAAAATTAATAGCACTGCATCACACCAATGCACATGGTGTACAACACACCGCGGTGTAACAGTCTGTTTTCAGACTGTTTCCCAGCCTTTAAGTCAGCAATATGCAGCTCCCATATTTCTGTCACTCCTTTGCACCTGGGAAACTCTATTTCACTTTCACTGCTTCTACTCCCTGATTGTGCAGAATAGGCAATCCACCAATCCCCTTACCCACAACCCAATACCTGGTGTCTGGTAACCTATCTGGTGGTGGAAGTATGCCTAGGTGTATGCAAATCCAAATAAATTAGCAAAACCACAATGGAAAGCTCTAGGTGGCCAGCAAAGTAGTAACAGGAAAGGAAATATGCACTGACAGCTTATGCTGCTAGCTATCTCCCGTACACTTAAGTTTAATACTTTTAGGTTTCCCACAGATTCACCTTTAAAAAAGTTCAGAAATGTGTGTTAAAAAAGAGTTGTTCGTGCACAGAAACCATTTTTTTAGGTTTATTGGTCCTTTAAAATGGACATGCGTCATTTGTGTGTGAATGTTTTTGCGGCTAAATTGGTTGCTTTAAAAAAGCATAAAAAAGAGAAGCATCAGTTTCAATTAAACAAAGATAGTTTTGAAAAATATTCAGTGCTGCATTTAATGAGATAAACTTTTAAGTCCATATGGCAAAAAAAAAAAAACAATTGGTAGACTATAAGGTATAGAATCTACAGTGTTGACCAAGTGGTAAAACCAGACTTCCCAAACTTACAAGATGTAAAAAAAATTACAAAAAACAGGACATATTAGGCCTGAGACCTGTCAAAAATCTACCCAAATGTTGACCCTAAAAACAGATGTTGGGAGACAAGGCTAGAACCAGTTGTTAATGGCTATGGCAAACTAAAATGAAACAGTTGATTCCCTTTTCCCCTAGGATATGGTAAATGAGTAATGGTGCAGTGAATTATATGTTCATCTGAATGCATGTGAATGGCTTTAGTGTTAGATTATACCCTCTTTATAATTCAGAGGAGGGGAAAAAAAACAAGGTATACTTTTCCTAAAACGAAAAGCATTATTTTTTTCAAGTTCAGTATGTTCTCATCTCTTACGGTAATACAATGCTGAGGATTCCTTCAAAGAAAGCTTCATAGGATTCATTTGATGGAATGCAAGTTTTTAGGAATCCCAGGCTACATTACAATCTCACTCCAGCTCTTCCCCTTTAAGTGACATTAGCACCAAAGGACATCATATTTACATTAACTCATCCCCTTCTTTCAACACTATACAAAAAAAGGAAATTCCATAAAAAATAGTGCTTGACTTTTTTTCCTTTTCACAAAAAAGTAATATAATATATATATTATACAAATATAAAAATCATTGTAATCTGTGGCATATGTGCAAAGCAGACAGAGCTCCTACTCCAACTTAACAGAGGCATCTGCCTACTTCCTCCTTCTTTTCTCTTAGTTCTCAATGAATAAAAGGTGCAAATACATTTGGAATTCTAGTACTCAACCCCTTTGATGCCAAAGATGGCAGCACTTTGCAATAATAAGGCTGCAGAAGCCTCAGTGACACAAAGGAGTAGGAGAAAAAGAATCCCTAAAAAAAACCTAAAATGCCCTACATTTTTTTTTTTTTTTTTTTAGGCATAAAAAAGGTGCAAAATTATTTTGGACATTGACGTTGAAATGCTACAGGAAAACAAACAAAAACATTAAGTAATGTCAAGATGTTAAACCAGATGTAAGAAACAGCGGGATTTTTTTTTTTTTTTTCCGTTTCGTTTTTCCCCTTTCCATCCTTAAAGTAATCATTCGGATGGATTTTTGAATAGTTCCACTGGTAAAACATTTTTGTTTTTCCTTAATGGCACAGTTAGGCCAAGTGTGCCAGGATGATGCATATTTGTGTGCGTGCAAATACAGTTGTGTCTTTGCATACTTATTCACGTACACACATACTGTACGTGCTGCAGTTTGAAAAAAATAAAAAAAACACAGAAAAGGACGCAAAAATCCACAGAAATAATTCCCACCAAAAGGCAATGTTGTTGTTTTTGTTCCAGCTTTGGTGTCTCAGTTTGCTCGTTTTACTCTTCTGTGTAGTGTCACATTGAGCTTTTCAGGCTTCAACTCTGTTGCTTGGCTTGGTCTCTCTCCAGTTCAGAGAAGACAGAAGAAAAACAAACAGAACATAGAAACAGAAATTGAAGGCAGTGGAATCCTGCTTAGTAATGATTCCCAGCTCAATTATGGGAGGACTCTGAGTCTTGCTGATTGGAGCGAAGTCGTGTCATTGGTGAGGTTGTTAATGGCCGATGTGATAAAAACTGCTGGGATTCTTCTATTTGCCTCACCCATCGCCGATACTGACGTGCGAGGACAATGGCTGGGACCCCTCTTCGTAAGCGGTGACTCTGAGTGGGCTTTCTTTGCCAGATGTCATATTTAGAGTGCTTGGTATGAGCATGCTTATGGTACACATCCTACATGAGGAAGAAACAAGATTATAAATAACAATGCTACACAAATAATTGATATTTCAGACAAATATTATTGACATCAACTAATGCAGATTAATCACCAGCTCCAAACAGGATTGTATGGTATGTGCATGGTGAAGCCCATAACTAGTGACTGTGTTTCCCAGATGTCTATTTTTACCCAGTGCTCATGTAAACCAGGGAGTCTAGCACTGCATGGCAATAAGCTGGGTTGGGGTGGGAATGATGAACGCTGGAGACCAAATAAGAAATTATATTTCTGTCATTTAGTGATCATTCTCAGTGTTCAGTAGCATCAAGTACATAAGACAAGTAGCATCAAGTACACAAGTTTCTGAAAACTATGATTATGCCATAGCCATCGATAGCCATTATGATGGCTATCAATGATAGCTCAGAAGCTTAAGCCTCCCAAAAGAAAGGCATATCTGTAAATTTAATGACATATTTTGAATAATTTTATATGGGTTCACTTTATATCAATTATTTATACTGTAGGTTGCCCTAATCAGTAATCAGTTACACTAGTATTGACTGTGTCCAGCAATGAAGGCAACCCACATGCTCTCTTCATGTTCCCTAAATGTAAAATGTGAGTGCAGTGGCCATCAGTACATTTGCCCCATTCCCCCACCAGCTTTAAATGGAAGTGTTCTGTAGCAACAATACCAGACAAAGCCTTAGCCTGTGCTCTGGTCATGTGAAAAATCACATATTGCAGAGAGCTTTGTATACTGGGCATTACCCCTAACACCCTGAGTTTATAAGGGCTTTGATCATTGTCTTATGACAGACTAGCTCACTTTAATCATAATTCACTGAAATAATTATTTTACACAGCACACAATGTACATATCCAGCTGAATTCTATGCAAACTAATTTTTATAAATGTACTTTTATTGTTAAAGTAGAACTATAAGTGAAATTCCAAAAAACTATGTATGCATGTGCTAAAATTATCTGTTGATCCTGCCAAACAAGCTGCTCTGCTTCATTTCCTTTCATAGGGCGACAAGGATGCAGCACCACTTTCCAGATCAGGGCAGCATTGTCACCCTTGTGTAAGTGGACCCTTCCGTGTCCATTTGATCAGTCCAAAGCAGTGACATCTCGGGAGGCAGGTCTATCATTGTGTTTAATGCTGATTAACAAGCCTCTAGCTTGCCAGTCCACAACTGGCCACACTTAGCCCTGCACTGAGTCAAACAGGGCACGTCTACTAGCACAGTCACAGCTGGTTATCAAACCCCTAGCTTGCAGTTAGCAGCTGTCCACGCCTAGCTCCACCTTCTGTGGTTTTCATCAACCCAAATGTTCATGGGAGCTGTAGTTTATGCTGAAAACCCTAGCACCATGAAGACCAAACTGTGAGATAGTTAGCATGCAAGGCAACTGAAAGGGAGGTTTGAAAATCTTAAAACTGGGTTTATTTCTTTTGTATTAAAAAAAGAGCTTGCAGATTTACTTTACTAAAGGGTTACTACCATCAGTATTTTAATACAAAGGAGCCTTTAGTTGTAGTTTAAGGTATGAATGCAATGTATTTGCTTTTGTCTGATGATCTGCAACATTTCAAGGTTAAATTAATGAAACATTGGCTGAGGTCCTGGTGCCCTTATCTTCTCCACTGTTTCTATGGGTACAGATATTTTCAAACTTACTCAGCAGATTGCTGGAGCAGATTTACGTTACCAGAACCCCTCAGCATTACACATTCCCACTAACCTTATTCAGAGATGGCAATGCAGTGGCTGGTGCGGTGGAAAGGTCTCTTTCATTCTTGACCGGCTTCGCACAGTATGTCTCTAATAAATCTAGGTCACAACTCCGAAAGCAGCATTCCTCCACAATTCCTCTGCTAACTCTGCGATTGGAGCGCCCCATATTCTTTTCTGTTAAAAACAAAAAGGAATCTATTTTAACATGAAAACATAATATGACAATACTCTCAGTGGGTTAACATGAATCCAGATTTCAGAGACATGTATTGTACTTATTGGTTCTTGTTTTTTTCCACTGTTTACAGAGTTATCCACTCTTAACTATTACTGGTCTTATATTCTGTACTAGTCTTACTTATTGCTGAAACAATGTGGAACAGATACACTGGAGGGTGGATGATGATTTTAGAAAGACAATGGTTTATAATTAGAAGTGAGTGACACAAATGGAAGTCAATATTGAGTCAGGTAGTCAGTTTATAAGGCCTGGGCTGTTTGAAAGAGGTGGTCTGGGACACGATTCAGTTCTACCCCTGCAGGGTATGCATAGGTGTGATCGCTAACTGAGGCCGATTGTGGAACTTGAACACTGGGACAGATTAGATCCCTTTATACCCACTCAAGCAGTAAGGGTAAAGATCATGTAAGTGTGCTTGGGCCCGAAACAATGTGAGCGCAGAAACTGTGCTCAGGCCTGGCACAATGTGAGTGCAGACCAATTAGGTAGTGGGGGCAACTGCGCTCGGGTAAAGTACTAGGTAACTTTGTCTTGTGTGAGTATACCCTAAATACCTTAAAGCAGTGGTAGCCCAAGTTTGGCCCTTCAGCTGTGGTGAAACTACAAGTCCCATAAGCCATTGCAAGACTCTGACAGCCACAGGCATGACTTTCAGACAAAGATGCATGATGGAATTTGTAGTTTCACCATAGCTGGAGGTCCAAAGTTTGGCTACCACTGCCTTAAAGTATACCTAGAGCAGAAACATCAAACATATTGCAGCCTGGAGTACACATAATGCAGCCTCCTTTGAAGATTCAACCCTCTCAATTTGGTCCACTGCTTCACATGCCTGATCTAAATCCATTTTTCATTTTGAATAGAATAGGGAATGTTACAAACCCTGTAATTATGTGTTTTGCCATCCGTGTCCCATTGAGGAGATTTTCTTTAGCTTTCTGTACTGTAGGCAGAGCAAGAAGTGAGAGGAAATCTCTCCAAGGTAAGAAAAGGCCCTAGAGCAGTGGTGGCGAACCTTGGCACTCCAGCTGTTTTGGAACTACAAGTCCCATGAGGCATTGCAAGGCTCTGACAGCCACAGACATAACTCCCAGAGGCAGATGCATGTTGGGATTTGTAGTTTTGGCACAGCTGGAGTGCCAAGGTTCGCCACCACTGCCCTAGAGGATACATTTTACCAGCAGGACATAGAAAGCAAAAAAGACTCAACAAAGGTACTGATCTCTCACCACTATCCAAAACAAATTGTTTGGGCTTTAGATACACTTTAATGCATTTTTGTTTTGTTTTTTTGTCTCTTCTGCATTTCTGTATGAACTAAATGCTGTTTGTGACACTTTAGTGCATTGTTTCTCTGATTTGTAGGATGGCGGTTCTGCTTATAATAAATGTGAGTGCCTTTGGAACCATTTCACAGAGCTAACAAAGATTCCTTCTAAAGCAGCATCATCACCTGCCAAAAGCATTCCATGTCATTGACAGATGCACCACTGAAAATGCTTGTCTGTCTTCCCCTAAAAGCAAACTGCAATGTGTTGCAGATTAGTGTCGGTGGGACTTTTGTTTTGTAAAAGACGTTACATGCAGCACGCTAGTACAATCTTCTTTGCATTAGCGCAAAACGTCATCTGAAAATCTCCACATTCGTGGAGCTTTGTTGGTCAAACATTAAAATACTCCATCACAGTGTGGAGGTTTGCCAATTGTAATTATTTAACATAGCACCCATAACATCATATCAGACGGAAACTCGAAAACATATCAGCTTAGCTCTAAATCTTTAGGCCTGATTAAGTTTTAACTCCTAGGGACACCTATCCTCCTACTCTGAGGCTGAAGATTTCAGATAAATATTCATGTCCCACAGCTCAAATACCAGCAGAGTGAGCCATGTAAACAACAGTCTTGGATTTCACTCTTGGATGGGGGGTGTCACACTAAGCTCACTCAGCTTTTTTCCTTCAATTCTGCTGCACTATGTTAACCCTTTTGTGATTCATACAGTTTTTAAGGGATTTAAAATGGAGCAATTAGGAGAGGTAGTTTGCAGATTTTTCTTTCTTCAGCTGACATATAACTACTCAGCTCTGAAGAGCATACAACATTTTTATAACTAAAGCACCAAAAAAAATCAGATTTCTTTCTAAAGCACACCGTGCATTTAGTGGCTTAGGTGTTATATATGAATGTCACCTGGCAGGAACCTAACATTTTTCCAGCCGTGCCATTCTAGAGGGTCATGAAAAAGACCAAGGATAGAATGGTTTTTATCCCTCATTTGACCAGGTAACATTTTCTTATCTCACCAGAATGCTGGATACCACCCTTACATGGGACAGGCAAGCCTACCTAAATAAATGGGGGAGTGTAACCAGTTAGGTTACAATATACCCCAATGTAAACCATACCCAGACTTGCTTTCTAAGCTAGATGCAGCCTTAAAGTGTATGTCTGGGCTAATTAAGAAAAACATATACATTACATCTCTACAATATATTCACATTTATACATATTTTGTCTCTTTAAAACACCCCAAGTACAGAAAAAAAAACTGTCCTGATAGAAATCCACCGAGTTTATACCTTTACTTGTTGAAGTAAAATCTTACAAAGTGTTATCATCCCTGCCAGGTAATCAGAACACTTTCCCCCCCTTCCCCCTATGTTATGAAGATGAAGAGAGGGGGAGTTGTTCTGTGAGCCTAGCTAACTTTCTGTCTTAAGTCGGGTACACACGGTTCGAATTTTGGCCACTTCCAGATGAATTGGCCGAAATTCGTACCATGAGTGCCACTGTCAGCACCCTTCTGCCCAGCATCCCTCGATAGGCTGATTGAAGGAGCTGGTTGGAAAATTCTCGGCTGAACGGAGCTAGCAACCAACCAGCTAGAGGCTGCAATCGTTGATGGATGAATCTGTTCTTTTTATTTTCATTCAGCCCGTAGGCTGAACAAAAAAAATAGAACCGTGTATACCCCACGTTAGGGTGTCAATGCTGCTTCTCCATAGATACAGCATATTGAGTAAGCTTCTCCCTCCCCAAGGAAAGAAAGAGTGTCACTGGTAGGAACACCAGAGCCTTGTATACCCCACATTAGGGTGTCAATGCTGCTTCTTCATAGATACAGCATATTGAGTAAGCTTCTCCCTCCCCAAGGAAAGAAAGAGTGTTACTGGTAGAAACACCAGGTTACAGTAAGGAAATGAAGCCTGAAAAAAGAAAACGAATTCATCCACTACATCTAAGGACTTGTAAGCTGCAATGTATTGCCTTTATGTCTTTGCATTTAGATACACTTTAAAATACAAAGCCATTTACACAATTTGCTACAGTGCTCTTGTCTTGCCTTGGCCAGGAATAAAAATGCCCATAGACCTGAGAATATAGTCAGATTATGCCTAGATATCACCGAGATAAATCTACCAGCATGAATGTAAACACAAGTGAATAACTTGGCCAGGTTATTACGCCTAGGAAAAAGCAAAGGTGAAAAAAGGTTGGCCAGAGAAAGAAAGGCTTCCCATTCATGTCCCATGCTAGATTACTTTTGTTCTCTGCTCTTTTTCCTGTGTAGTATTGAATCTTGGTTGTTATGTGGCAACAAAAGGAGTCTGAGGCAGTTCTTCCCTGAGACAACTCCATAAACAAGGCCAACCGTCTCTCGCTAAAAATTGAATCAGATGTGTATATAGTAAGCGCTGCTAGCTTATTGTGGTGGCCTACTCATTCGCTGCCTACCCGTTACTGAAAACAATCTCTTTTTCCTAAATAGGGGTGTTAACGCTGCGGTGTCTGTGACACCGTATGATGTGGCCAATGACCAAGTGGATAAAATTTCATTTATGTGATGTTTGACCTAGAGATCTATTTATATGTGTTGTTCCACTGCAGGGACTATATTTGAATTTCTTAGGAATTTCACAGTGTTAATTATGCATATATTTATTTAAAATTATTTTCTCTATAATTACAAAGTGCCAAAGAAGAGTCTGGGAAAGTATATCATTAACTCGAGAAAGTAAAAGCATTGTTTTGAACGGCCTGTTAGCTCTTTTGAATGTAGTCTGGTTTTTGAAGCATTATATAGATGTTTGTATGCATACTTTCCTTCAAAGTTTTATGCTGTGTTCCTGCATGAAATGTTCTCAATGCTGATAACAGAAGTCAGTTAATTACCTTCTTCTGGGAGTGTCTAATTACTATCTGCTGGCCCAGCTCTTCCGTCCCTCCCCTCGCCTCCCTACACTAACTTTTTTGTAGCCGCCAGGGGAGGAGTGAAGGGGAATACTATAGAGCAGGGGTGGGGTCCTGCTGTGATGCATCATGTATCTGCCTCTGGGACTCATGCCTGTAACTGTCAGTTTTGCAATGCCTCATAGGGCTTGTAGTTCCACAACAACTAAGGCCCCGTTCACACCTTTCCGTTTTGTCGGGCGTTCAACGCTCTATGAACGCTCTACAAAACGTACAACCATGAAAATCCCATTGTTTTCTATGGGTATGGTTCACACCTTTCCGTATTTCCGCCCGTCTGAACGCCCTACAAAACGGCTGACGCCCAAACAAGTACATGTACTTCTTTGGGCCGTTTTGGAGGGCGTTTTCCATTGGGATACAGCCAAGTAGCCTTCGGAATCGCGCGACGGTCGCGCGATTTTTTTTACCGCGAATCGCGGTTAAAAAAACGTGTGACGGTCGCGCGACAGACATGCATGCGTAATACGCCTAGGTGTGAACCCAGCCTAAAGGGCTGGAGTTGCCCACCCCTGCTATAGAGTGTCACATGTGACAGCTCTAAATCTGCTGGGGCTGCTGTCAGCACATCCAAGATGGCAGAGCCCAGCTAGGTAAATACTATGCCTAAAATATGTTAAATGCACATCCTGTGGTAATATTGCTGTTGAAATAAAAGTTATTTGTTAGGGCTTGCATA